AATTTTAAGTCATGTTTTTGACCTTTTTTTTTAAGCTGTAAGTGGAGTTAGAAAATTTTCTTTTGAAGGTTTTTTGAAATAAGGATTTGTTAGAAGAATATGCTTCAACTTGAAGATGTTCAGAATTTCGTAGTAGAATTTTCCTGGGAGTTTGTTTTAAGCTAGATTCTGGGTTTTTGGTTTAATATGGAATACTTTAATCTGAGTTTGGGACTTATTTTTTGTTGGGTAAATAGAAAATAGTAATGGAAATACATTTTCCCTTGAATAAGCAGAAGGATGAGTCTAATGAATATCTTCTCTCATATTCCTCAAAGGTATCTAGGTTAACAGTTTGCATGATTCCCCCACTTGAGTTTGTGGTCATTTCTTTATGCCTTCTCAGAATGGTTTTATATGTGATATGTTCATTAACTACTCAAAACTATTAGGAGACGTAGGCATTATACTGAAATAGGAAATAAAAAGACCTTCCCTTCAAGATAGCCACAGGACCTAGGGAGAAAGAGGGTGACATATTTAACTGTTTCAAAAAGCACTGAAAATTTTAATGAAATAAAATATTACAATATGAGATATGTGAGCCTAGTTTGGCAAACAGTAATATACTCTGGGCCCAGAATTTAAACATTTTCTCCAGTTATAGTAAATTTGTCACCGACTTCTTACCCACTTGTGACGTTTTGCCTTCATCCTGCTTTTTATTTGGAGAAGTGCTGTAAGCATATGTTAAGTCGGGCTCTTCCTTTAGTTAGGTTCTTTGGGACCATTTGCCTTGCACCCCTGAGCAACTGTTGTTAGACCTAATGCTTCTGACGATACACACCGAATGTCTTGCTATCAAGTCTCCTGCTTTGCCTAAATCGTGGCTTACTGAGTGCATACTATTTGCCAGGCTTGTACTCAGCAAAAGGAATCCAAATTTCTAAAGGCAGGTGTTTTACCTTGAAGGAGTTTATGTGAATAGGAGAACAATTAACATTATAAATATGGTGATATAAGTTGAGCATCCTGAATCCAGAAATCCAAAATCTGAAATGCTTCAAAATCTGAAATTTTCAAAGCACTGACATGATGCTCATTGGAAAGCAAATGCTCATCGACGTATTTCGGGTTTTAGAGTTTTAGATTTGGGATGTTCAGCCAGTAAGTATATACTGCAAATATTCCAAAATCCTAAAAAATCCAAAATTGAAAATACTTCTGGTCTCAAGCATTTTGGATAAGGGATATTCAACCTATAGTTATCTGTGCACGGTCAAAAAAGAACCCTGGGAAGGCCCTGTGGCTTTCTAAGAGTACTTTTGAAATGGAGAGTACTAGCCATAGCTTTGGTCTGAGTAAAGCTTTGTTATTATCCTTAAGTTGTTAAATAATGATAAAAATGAATGTAATATTCGAACATGTTGCAAGAGGGTTTAGGAGGACATCTTACTAAAGACTCTAGTGGATCCAGGGAAAATTAATAAGTGGTTATCTGTTTTAAATATAACTGCCATATTTCTGGCAGCTTTATTTATTTATTTTTTGGAAGACTTTCAAACAAACACAACATTTGGAAAAACAGCATACATAGGACTTCTGTATGTTCATTTTCCA